GTCACTTGACAGTGGGCACGGATCGTGATGCTAGCTTCGGGTACGTTTTCATGACCGAGATGTCCGCAGAGAATCAAAGAAACTCAACGAGAGGTGAGTTGTAGTTCATCATATCAATGTAAAGTTCAACTCAACTATGGCGAGGTGTTTTTGATGAAGCGACGCTGTGAACACTCAACTCCTCCCAAGGGCTGATAATCAGTATGATTGAGGGCGTCGTGGCAAAAGTAGCGCAGCTCAGTCAGGCTCAACACTTGGAAATGTGTGTAATCTTTGGCATTCATGTTTAATCGGTACACCATTAACACTTGGCCTACTTGATCCGAAGAACGTTGGTCATGAGGGTCCAGCAACCTTGTCCTACCCACCTCCAATGACCGAGGTACCCAGAGAATTGATGCATCTAATAATCACTAGATGCAACTGCGACTTCGGGACAGGGCTCTTTAAGAACTCGAGCGCTTTTTGGATCCGCTAACAATTCAAAGCTTCATCCAGCAACATATCAGCTCTCCACTTACATGAGATGATCAGCCATAATCATACTACACCATCCTCCTAAGTAGCCCTGCTGAATGCACCCACACTTGATAAAAGCATTGCAGAAACAGTATTTCAATAACAAATCCTCTGTGGCGCAATTGGCTAGCGCGTCTGACTGTTATTCAACAGATCATCAGGAGGTTGGAAGTTCGAGCCTTCCCGGAGGAGTAATGTTTTGATTTTTGCCTAAGTTTTTACTTTGGTTTCTTTTGAACTTTAAACCGTCCTTTTTGGCTCCCAAACCTCCTCTGTATATCAATCTATCACCACCTGGATGCCCAATAACATATTCTATCTGCATTGTTGTACCCAGTCCCTTCCAATCCCTCCTTTGCAACCAGGCGGCTCGCCTCTAACTGATTCATGATCTCCAGCCCGTTATCGTTCTTTCAAAAAAGTTAACCAACGCTACAGCGGTTTGTTTTTCACCTTTGTAATCCCAAGGCTGAGCATTATCTCTTTGTTTCTTCATACCCAACCCCCAGTGTATCGTCATCCCATATATCTTGGGAACGCCGGTCAACTTGTATTCGATCTCAAGTCTTGAACTTTGATTCTCCCCTTGATGTACGAAACCATGACCGCAAATCCTGCGAATAGTTTAGGCTATGAGTTGCAGGCTTGTGAGACCCGGCTGTTGACGCTTGGGTATTCAGAGAGAATAAAACCTAATTCCGGAGCGTAGATGATGAATTGCATCTGAATTCTCTCGGTATTCATGTCGGTAAGGCGGTGGATTTACCGTTGAGGTGAGGCCCTGCAGTTTGGGAAGGAGGGAGATGATGTGTGATACCAGTTGTAGAGATCAGAGTTCGGATGAAGACTCGGGGACGGTGAAGTAAAGAAGTGTTCTTCCAAGGAGGTAAGAGGGGGGAGCGGCATCAAAAAAAAAAAAAAAAAAAAAAAAAGGTTGGTCTGGATTCAGAGTGAGCTGGCGAGGCACTTGCTGTCCGATTATATTCGGCAAGTACACTTACGTCTAGGTGTGTGTTTTTTTTTTAAAAAAAAAAAAAAAAAAAACGTTCAAAAAATCTTGGAAAGAAGAAGACTCAAAACTAACCCCTAAACGTCCATCACGACCCACGTTTCTATGGTGCGAACGCACAACTTCGCGGTTGACCACTTGACTTGCGCCTGCTTCCTTCTCTTCTCCTTGTTTGGGCAGAGAGAAGGAAGGAACTAATATATAGGTAATTACTGGTTCAAAGACCAAACAATCTCATATTCACTGACGATAAAGCATTAAAAGGCGCGAGACCCACACGCATACTTAAACTCTTTCGAAAGATCAAATGAGACTGGACTTTTTAAATTCCTTTCCCACACCTTTCTCACTTTACCGAGTCGCACCCTTACTTACAAAGGGTTAGGGTTATCCCCCCGATCATCTCTTATTCACTCCCCCTTTCGCACCACGTGACCCACCCAGTGTTCCGGCCCCGCCAAGCCGCCCAGACCAATTCTCCAATCCTTGCTTCCGCTTGATGTTTTGTTGGACCTCACTGTCCAAACCTCAACACCCACCAAAACTCGCCGCCATGGCCTCCCTTTCCTTCCTTGCACGGGCAAACGTCCGGCCGTCGATATCTCTATCCTCAGCTTTCCGCGCCCTTTCCCTCTCGGCGGTGAGCAGACCAGCAGTCCAGACCTTGACGACCCTTTCGAGACCAACAACGATTGCGACGACGACGCTTGCAAAGGGTGGTGCGGTATCGGTCTTTCAGAAGGCTCAGCAGAGCAGGGGAATGAAGGTTCACAGTTCGGTTAAGAAGAGGTGTGAGCATTGCAAGGTGCGTTTTTCACGAAGAAGACGAGAGGGTGTGGATTTTGGTCGGGGGACTGGATTGGAAAAATATTTGTGACTCGAGGCTGGTTCGGACGAAAGCTGTTATTCTGGGGACGATGGAAATTTTTTTAGTTTCAGATGAATAACCGCTGACATCTGAGGAATATAACAGGTCGTCCGACGAAAGGCCAACAAAAGGCATCGAGGATACATCTACATCATATGTTCGGCAAACCCAAGACACAAACAGAGACAAGGGTAGATGGTTATGACGAGAGGGCATGTTGTACGATAATACACGAGCACAAACACAAAAAAAGCAGGGTATGGCGGCGAAAGAGAGAGATAGGGTATACAATAGATCCGGCCGAATGGTTTTGCTTGTTATAAACCGTCAATATACCTCTCCATGCCTTCCCATTCTGTCTTGCCTGTCGAGAGGAGGTAGCGGATATGGCTGATATCTGTAACGTTCCGATTCCTCTCGAATTCTTGTCTAGCGAATCGGCGAGTCTCGGCTTTGGTATTTGGGTCTGCTATACGGCGAGTACCCCGGAGGATTGTTCGGTAGAGGGACAGCACACGGACTCGTTGAAGAAACTAGAAAACATCAGCGTTGATCGTGAGGGCGGGCGAGGTGACAGTGGCTTACATGATCCAGACTGAGTGTGCCCTTGAGTTTGGATCGCGGACTGCTGCTGCTGCTGCTGCTGCTCGTCGAATGCGTGCGTAAGAATGCCCTCCGCACTAGGGCAAAAGAGGGGCGCATCAATGGCAACTGGTATATGGGGCGGACTCAGATATGCACAGAGAAGTTCGGAATCATTGAACGTGCGGTTCCAATGGCTGTAACGACCGCTGCGACCTCGACGTGGTGGTTAGAATGCGCTGAAGCGGGAAATTTTCTGGGCGCAACTGGCAACTGGAACGTCATGGTTATTTGGGGTAAGACCCCACTATAACTTGCAGCGCCAAGACTTCCTTCGGGGCACTTCAGGTCAAGGGATGTACTTTTCGTACCTAATTTCCATCACTTTTTCAGGGACAATACCTGCTACGATACTTATTTTTGACATTTTTGCTATCCAGTCTCTCTAATGGTCAGGTAGCAACCTGGAATTGCATGTGATCTGCTCAAAATGACACCCAAACGCCGTCGAGTACCCACGGACCCGCTGGACAAGGCCAACCAAAAGACAGACGAACAGTTCATTGCTGATTACTTGCAACCCGAGTGTGTAATTGTTCTCCTTGTCTACCTTTTCTTCTCGCAGCTAGGTGCTAACTTGATTTCGCAGTTGGATAACTTCGTGGAACCATCCTAAAAGTTCCCAAAACTACACGCTCGCTCTCATCCAACCTTCAAGGATCTCAGACGCAGACCTCCAAGCGTGCTTCGATCTCATAGTAGAAACCAGCAAGCAAGACTACGAAAAGTCGGCAGGGAAATGGCGGCCAGACCACAAGATGAAAGAGATGAAGTCTCCCGAGCTTCGGTACATCCTCGTCAAGGACGAGGAAACCAACACGGTAAAGGGCTTCACTTCACTTATGCCTACCTATGAGGAGGGCCAGCCGGTGGTTTATTGCTACGAGATCCATCTGAAGCCCGAACTCCAGGGGACGGGTTTGGGCTCGCTATTGATGAGCTTCCTGGTTAAAGTTGCTGAGAGGCTGCCACCAATCACGAAAGTCATGTTGACGTGCTTCGTGGCTAACCAGAGGGGACTAAACTTTTATGAGAAGCTCGGGTTCGAGACGGATGAGATCTCCCCGGTGGAAAGGAAGCTGCGGGGCAAAGTGGTGAAGCCGGATTACGTGATTATGAGCAGGACGGTTCAGGGCGGAGAATTAAGGAGTAAAGATTGAAGCCTGCGCATGCAGAAGGACAGGTTATTACAAGATGGAATGCACGTTCAGGGTTGGCGAGATGGTATGCCGATTTCCTAGAAACTTGTAAGCGGCTTTATCTATATGATCGGCTGGGGCTCTTTTTCTGGTACCTGAACGCCTTTTCCTGTCGGTACATTCTTCTAACTTTGTCGGATTGACTATCTTAATGTCTGAAAGCAATAATTGCCACAATGCAAAACTTACGCCCTGCAGTGCATTCTGGCATGTCATTGCGTGTTCATGTGCCGGCAAGCTGGTCGTCACACTGATCCCAGAGCACTAACCACTAGCTAACATATTCCACAGTCTATGATCAGACTGTTCAACTTTAACGAGCCGTGCGAGTCGAGGCTCAAGGGAATAACCCCGACTCTGGGGACTTTTTTTTTTTTTTTTTTTTTCCTTGGAGCAACGTGCTTAGTAGCTTGTACTTTTAATTTATGTCTTACCTCATCAACCTTCAGAGTCCTGTCAATCATGATCATGCATTGAGATAATGACACTATCGAGACGATATCTGAAGAAAGTTCGGCGTTAAATGAACTGCGGTTCAGGGATTATTGCTTTTAGTGTTTCTGTTGCTCAGTTCTGTCCGCTGGCAACTTTCCCAGCTCGTCAATTTGGAGATATGAGACGGTATTTGACACCTGCTGCGAAGCTGTTGGATTAGAGACTTTCTGCAAGATTTATGAGTTGATGTTGGTGAGGGTTTGTTGGTGAGGAATTCCGGTGCATTCAGGAATGCAAATTTCGAGTGACATCAATAACAACTGGTCAAGCCCGCGTGGCGCAATGGTTAGCGCGTCAGACTTTTACGGCAAAGTGATCTGAATGTTGCGAGTTCGAGTCTCGCCGTGGGCGATCAAAGAATATGAAGGCATTCAAAGCTTTCATTTTTGCATCATTTGATTTCATCACTGCCAACAAGTACTGATGAAAACATTTTTCTCTTTTTTTTTATTGTTGTTTGCTGTGCATACCTAAGTGGATGGCTTCTACGGATATTTGTAGTATCATGTGGTGTGCTTTTGACGCAGTCGGCCCACAGATCTGTGCGCTGGGGCATGAACTTTGCTTGTAATAAATATATCATCACTTGCATCCAACTATTTTTGGGCTTTGCATGGAATTAGATATTGCGGTACTTATTATTTGTCAAAGGGTAATTATTTGTGAAGCTTCATTTCCGATCAGAGTCAACGATCAGGTTGCCGACTTCCTAACCTCTGCCACCAATCAATCAATCAATCAATCAACACTGACCATGCCACCGACATCATCCTGAGGAAAGCAGGCAGAAAATTCCCCTTATTTGTGTCACTTATACTAAGTTAGTTTCCTTATGGCGCGGCTTTCAACCTGATAGGCCGACGACCTCATTCCCGTCCAAAACAGGGAACTTGGAAAATCCCCAAGCATGACGTATATCCGCCACACACACACACACACACACACACACACACAGAGACACACACACCATGAAACAGCCACCGCACACACACCCTTTGTATGAAGTCAGTGTTCAAGAACTGGATTTTTTTTTTGGACCCGCCAAATATTAAATAAAGATAAAACGGTCGCCCGGTCTAGATTTCTAAAAACAAACCGTTTCAATCATCTAAAATCCTCATAAAGTCTTCATCGCGCCAACATCCAATATCAACATCAGCATCAGCATTATTATTAAGTCACGAATTTTATTTTCACGTTACAACTGAAACCTGAAACAACGCATAAAACCAAATCAAGACTCAAAAAAAAAAAAAAAAAAATGGAGTGGACAAAAGAGCAGTATAACAAACAATACGAGAAGTGGGTCCCCTGGCTGGAGGACATGTATCTCTACTACTTCACCCGGGACAACAAGGCGAGCTACAGCACTCGGGGTATGTGGTTTTTTTTTTTTTTTTTTTTTTTTTTTTTTTTTTTTTTTTTTTTTTTTTTCTTTTTTCTTCTTCCTAGTAATTTGCCATATTTTTTAAGACTGGAAACTAAAATTTTGAAACTTTTGTCTCACACGCCCGCAGATAATCTGGACAAGACCAAAGTAACCGGCATCAAGCAAGTCGACACCCTCCAGGGCGGCGTGAACGACCTCGTCGCCAATCAGGTGGGCCAGGACGGACTCGGCCGTCCCGTGGGTGATTTACTGTCAAAGGAAGGGCTCACGAGAGCGGAGAGGCGAGGAAAGCAAGAGAATGGGGGGTATCTGCCCGAAGCTGGCGGCCCGGTCAGTCAAGTCGGCGATTCGGTGATCAGCGGCGTGGCTTCGGGCGCCGACGCCGCGGGCGAGGGAATGAAGAAGGCTGGGGGGTTGTTTGGGTTTGGTAAGGGAGAGTAAAGAAATATTTCTGGTCTCTTTTCCAAGTTTTGTTTTTTATTTTTTGGGTGGGATTTTGATAATATATATACCCTGGCTGGCTTGTTTTAATTCATAACTTTCGTTTTTTTTCTTCTTTTTTTCAAATCCTCGAACAAACTTCAAGCCCACAGTGCCTGTGATGATCCAAGCAAAAAAAGAAAGTTCCATCAAGCCCTCAACCAAGCCGCCAAAACAGCTCCCCACTTGACCGCCCCTTTGTAGACCCTCATTCCTCCCGCATTCCCCTTCCCCAAGCCCTCGATCGCGTCCGCCAGCTCTCCTCCCAGCCCTTCTCTCTTGATGTCCTCAAGCTGATACAAAAAGGTTTTGAAACTAAACATCAAAGCCCCGGTCTGGGGAAACCTCATCAGGCTCTGCAGTTCAACCCTGAACCTACATTCCTCGACCTTTATTTCGTGCTCCTTCAGCTCTCTTGCTTCCTCTTCGGCGTGGACATGATTGCCGCTCGGAGAGTAGAGGTCCGAATGGGTTTGGATTGACCACTTTTTTTTTTTGGGGGGGGGGGGGGTAAAATCATATCAGCAATCATTTGAATTATAATTGAAAAAGGCCTAAAGAAATATAAAATAAAAATAATAACTCACATTGACCCTCTTCACCCTCTTGCCTACTTCCAACTTCGAAAAGAATCGTTCCATACTTGCCCCTATCTTTTCATAAGACGGCACGGGTCCGTGTATGGCCGCCAGCCCCTTGCCCAACTTTTCTGCCGGGTCGAACCCGGACGGGTGACAGCACACGAAGGCGACCGCGACGTGCTCGTCCCTCGCCGGGTCTTTGATCAGCAAAAAAATGTCGTCCTCGACGGTTTCCCCCAGGACCTTCAGGATCTCGTCCGGGGATAGCGACGATTCGACGGGGTCGAGGGGGAAGGATCGGGACGTGATTGCATTGTTGAAGTAGCCCGTCCCGCCGAGCCCGTACGGACAGGGGAATAATGGGGTTTGGGAGGTGGTGAATAGGGGTGACGATGACGACGACGATGGGTACCGGGCGGGGAGGTAGGTGCCTAGGAGGTACGAGTAGGCTTCCCGAAGCGGTGCGAGGCCGGAAGGGATGGAACCCAGGACCGTGGAGGGGTATGAGGAGATGATTTTCCTCCGGGCCGTGACGCGGGAGAGGTAGTTCTTGTCTAGGATTATCAGGGAGGACGGTGTGGCGGTTTGAAGGGCTGAGTCCATATTGTCAGCGGAAGAAAATCAGAGAAAAAAAGGGTCTGTGCTGTAATTCCATACCCATGGTGATGTGATAGATTGGCTTGAAAGGGCGGAGTTTGAGTGGCTCCTCGTTTTCCCAATCAAAGTTTGGAAGGGGCTCAATCGTAGGCGAGGCATAGGCTTGGCGGGACAGTAGCAATGGCTTCTCGTCGGAATAGCTCGGCCTGCTGCCTGATTGTTGTTGTTGTCGTCGCTGCCGACGGGATCGAATTCGCCACCCGAAAACTACTGCGGTGGTGGTGATGATGATGAGTTGGAGAACAAAAAGGATGGCGTACGGAACTGCCATGGTCAAAAGCTGAGTCGGACGAAACAAATGAAATTCAAAATAAACAACATAAAAATTGAGAAACGTTGAATTTTGATAGACTGGTTGCCAGTGGTAGTATAAATAGACGGTTTATAAGCAGTCAAGGTGGTCGCCGCTCTCGGACACACCTGATATCAGTCATACCAGCATCCCAACACACACTGATGGGCTAACCCCGCCTCATCCAAGCTCCCAACCCCAAGTCTTTGATACGCCAACTTTGACTGCGTGATATCAGCTAATCAAAGCTAACCCATATATGGATGGTGATTTTTATCCTTAACACATCACAGCAAATAATAAGAGGGACTCGTGATCTAACAAATATACTAATCTTTTTCCGGGACAATTTCAAAATAATTGAGAAAATATAAACGAGGACAAAAAAAAAAAACAAAAAACATATGTTAAAAAAACAAAATCATTCAATTCATTTCGGGTATAAAAGGCTTTTTTTCCTCCTCAATCAGATCCCAACTCATCTTCCATTCCAATGCCGACTCTAGCAGCGACATAACTTCAACAAAAATCACAAATTTTCCCCCACCTTCCCTCAATGACCATTCTATTCGCTGTTCTCCCCGTCAGTGTGATAAAGCGGCTTCAACTCTGTGTTCTTCCTGAACAGGACCCATCGCTTAAACCAATAAGGCAAAGCCTCGGTAAGCTGATACTTTGCAAACTTGCCAGTCGGTACAGCAAAGACGTAATCCAACTCTTCCAGTGTCTTTTGCTTGGTCTCGGGGACGAGGAAGAAAATCATGACAAAAGCCACGACGTTGAAGCCGGCGTACAGCCCAAAAGCTCCCACGACTCCCAAACTCTTCAGCAGGAAGGGGAATGTCATTCCCAGGACCGCTGCCCAGAACAGGCAAGTTGCGACGGAGAATCCCATGCCGACCTCACGGTGTGACAAGGGGAAGACCTCGGCGCTGTAAGTGAAGGGAACCGGTCCTTCTCCGGGGGAGTAGAACGCGCAGAAGAGGTAGACGAACAGCGCCACCAGGGCGGTCCTTGCCGTGCCTTGGTCCAGCAAGGTGCACAATCCAGCGGCCAGCAGAGTCCAAGTCATCTGGGGGAAGGTGAACAGGAGGAGCGATCTCCGTCCAAAGGTGTCGATCGTCCAGAACGCAGGGAAGGAAAACAGCCAATTGACCAAGCCGAAACCGAACGAGGCGAGCAGGGCTTGGAACTCGCTCTGACCGGCATCGCGGAAGACGGTGGTCGAGTAGAATGCGATGATGTTGATTCCGCACATCTGTTGAGCAATCATGACGGTGAATGCTGCGAGCGAAGCACGCCTTACTCGGGGGATAGTGAAGAGTTCGCTGAAGCGTTTGGCGTAGGTGCTGTTTCGTAGTAGTTGGCTCTCCAGTTCGAGTTGGGAGTGGATGTAAAAGATATCTCTCGCGACCTGGAGGGGGTGGTTCCGAAGTTTGACCATTGAGTTCCAAGCTTCGACATAGCGGTTCTTTTTCATATACCATCTTGGCGATTCGGGGCAGAAGTAGATCAGGCAGAGAAGCGGCACGGCGGGGATGAAAGGGGCGCCTGGGTTTGTCAGTTTGAAGCTCGACTAGAGGGGAGTTAAGACCTGCTTACCCAACATCAATCGCCAGTTGTACCGTGTATCGACGTTATAGACAGCCAGGTTGAAAGCAGTTCCCAAGAAGATACCAAAGGCAGTCCACATTTCTAAAAGAAGGTCAGTATATTATTCGTACCAAAATATCCACAGGGACAGCTCAACTTACGCCATGACATGACCAAAGCACCACGGATCGAAGCCGGCGAGTTCTCAGCAGCGTAGATGGGCACAGTCGAAGCCTTGACACCCATACCGATACCCATCAAAAGACGGCAAGCGAGTTGTTGAGGCCATGAGTGGCAGAACGCGGAACCGATGACAGGCCAGATACAAAAGTGAGCCGAGAAGAAGATAACGCCGCGA